CCGATGGAGAATTGAATTTGTGGGGCGGCGCCGGCGAGCCTTTTAGCACTAAAGGGAAGTGGAACATCACTGTACAAGACACTCAAACCCTTCCCATAAAGGTAATAAGCAATTACACCTTACATGTTACAACAAAACCATTTAAAAATTCACGTTTTTCAATTGTCTCCACTCATTCGTTCGCTTTTAAAAAATGCTCCACTAAAAAAGAGAATCCTCAAGATCTCCTAGAGTTTTAAAAATTAGAATTTTTTATAAAGCACAATATTTTCGGTCTAATTAGCAATTTATAGATACCCTTTATTATATTACGTGTTATAGATACCTTTTATGTTTTTATACAATATATTTCATGTATTTAAGCTATTGTATTCATTAATACAACAACAAAAAAAATAGGCATAAAAACTGGAATTCCAGCTAAATTTGACATGTATTTAGCTGTATTCAAGCGGCATTAACGTTAAATACAGTAACATATATGTGCAAAATCTGGAAGGTTAAACTGGTTAAAAACAGAAGGAAATCAAATCACATGATATTCTCCTAATTTAACTCAACGAACTAAAACGATCCCTCATTAATCTGTATTTGAAAGATACATAATAAAGATTATAGTTGAATAAAGAGAAATACATATGAATAATACAGTTGAGTAGAACTGTATACAGTTGAATACAACAAAATACAACTTAATTCATCTGAATAAAACACTTGAATACAACAAAATACAACTGAATACAGCTGAATAAAACTCTTGAATGCAACAAAATACAACTAACTTCTGCTGAATAAAATAGTTGAATATAATTAACTACAACTGAATACAGTTGTATAAAACACTTGAATACAACTAACTACTGCTGAATAAAATAGTTAAATACAACTGATTAAAACTGAATACAAGAGAATACGCATAACTTTTTAATACATCTAAAATATATAAATGAATGCTACTGAATACATGTGAATACAGCTGAAATATACATTCGAATACAATTGAATACAAATAGGCGATTTTGGCGATCTAGAGAGAGAAACAGCCTTATGGCTTCGCCGGCCGGCGGCCAGCCATTAATTCCGACTGGTCAGCCCCCTAACACATCTGCCCAACCTCCTACAACAACTACAAACAATCCCCAGCCCTCAAATCCCACAAACGAAGCCACGAATTACGCAAAAGCTATGAACCCTACTTCGACGACCACTACCAAGCAGAATCGAGCCGCTACAGTTGAACCAATTGCTCTTCGTCTATCAAAATCAACGAATTAAACTTACCCTAAGCGATTGTAATGGAGTGATAATGGAGGAGAACTAGAGAATTTGGGTGGGAGAAGAGGTATGAATCGTGGGTTGAGGGAGAAAGAGTAAAGTGTATGCAACAAGAAAGAGAGAACGTGGTTAGTCAATTTTACTGTGATTATGTGAGAGAAAAGACTAAAAAGGAGAGAGAAAAATATTATTTAGCATATATGGTGCCTTAAATGTAGGATGTAACTATAATTAGATATTTGGCTATAAAGTATAAAAGGTATCTATAGGATGTAATATTTTAAAATGGTATTTATTTAAAATAAATAGAGTATTAAGGTTTTCTATAGGTGTAAAAATTCGCGTAAAGCGCACTATAAGCTTTGATTGGAGACAGAAAAGTGCCAGTGGGAATTAAGCTGTCTATTTATTGCTTATCATGAGCTCCGCACTTTCATTGGCTAGAATAAAGAAAAATGCCCAAAGTCCATTTTCTTGCAATCTTTCCATGTTTAAACTTATAGCATCAGTTTTTTTTAAAATTTAATTTATGTACTATATATTACTACTTTATTAATAGTAAAAGTAAATTTAAAATTATGTTGTTGAAAAGTTACTTTGATTGATAAAACATCATGATATCAAGTTTAATATTTAAACAGTTAAATAAATATGAATGTTTAAAGATTGATGTAAAATAAAAACAATAATATTATTAATGGGATGATGATTAAACGTTTTGGAAATTCCAAAAAAGCAAGTGTGGTATAGTAAATTGGAAGTGAGAAAGTGTGTTTTAGTTTTCATGATAGACAGAACAGAAATCAGAATAAGAAAGATACGGCTAAACAAAGGACTCATATTCCAAAATCTTAGTTTGGGGTTTCATTAGCTTTACTTGATTACGTGAATTTTGCATGCAGGTATACCAAGTTGATTTTGTAGTAGTTTGCGTGGGAAGATTCAGCCAAGTTCCAAATATTCCTCAGTTCCCTCCAAACAAAGGTCCACAAGCTTTCGATGGTGAAGTAATCCATTCAATGGATTATTCCAAAATGAACTCCACAACTGCAACCAATTTAGTCAAAGATAAAAACGTAGCCGTTGTTGGATTCCAAAAATCAGGAATGGACATTGCCATGGAGTGCTCTACCGTTAATGGTATAACTGCTATTGATCTTCCATTAATTAATTCTACCTCTTTTATTGTTTGTTTATACATAAAGTCAATTATTATTGTCTATTAACTTTAGGTCGTTCTTGAAACCCATAAACTTCAAATCTTGAATCCATCTATGACTGTTGTTTGCAGGGATTGAACGTGCATGCACAGTAATAATCAGGACTCCACACTGGAACCTTCCAGATTATTTTCCATGGGGATTCCCTTTGGCAAAACTCTATCTAAGTCGATTCTCCGAACTTATGGTGCATAAGCCCGGTGAAGGCCTTCTTTTATATCTCATGGCTACTATTCTTTCACCTCTGGTAATTCTTACTCCCTGTATATATCGTACAAATCATGAGTACTATGGCTGTTGGAGTCATGAAGTACTAATTAATCGATTTCTCACTATCATATTTTACAGAGGTGGGGATTCTCAAAATTTGTGGAAAGCCATATAAAACACAAGCTCAAGCTTTCAAAACATGGATTGGTTCCAGAGCATAGTTTCTTAAACGAATTGAGTGCATGTTTAATTTCTACGGTGCCTGAAGGCTTCTACAACAGAGTTGAGGAAGGACGTCTCAAGCTGAAGAAAGCAAAGAGTTTTGGATTTACTAAAGAAGGTATCGTGCTTGAGGGTCAAGCTGAACCAATTAAGTCGGACTTGGTCATACTCGCTACTGGCTGGAAGGGAATAGACAAGATCAAAAACGTATTTGAATCACCAAATTTTCAGGAATACATAGCAGGCTCAGATGGTTCGGCAGTTCCTCTATATAGGTACGTAATTAAAGCCTTATATTCTTTGGGATGAAAGGATTGTTTATGCGGTAAATAATATATTAATAATGTAACACTTATTTATGTGACAGAATAATTAATAATCGCGGGATTAATTGTTACCTCGTGAATAATATATAATAATACTACATGAACTATTGTGCAAGATTGACCTAAATTAATCTTGCATTCCACTACGCTCATATTCCACGTATTGCTAATACACATATACACCTTTCCCTTATAAAATAATACATGAATTTGCATATGATTAGTTTTATCAAAACCAATAATACAGAGTTTAGTTTTCATTATTAAATACCATATACATAACTTGTGCAAAATTTAGTTAATATGAAAATCAAACGTTATATTAGTTATATGTACATTAAATTAGTTATGTAGGGGAATTTATACTGAAAATCAAACTCAATATGGGCAAAGTGCAGCAATAGCCACTTTTAAGCCTGCTATTTAAAATATATTCATAATTTATAATGTATTGAAATATTAACCAATTCACCCAAACTTCAGGACTAAGTATCCCGAATATGGAATTCAGGATTAGTGTCCTGAATTATTGAGCTGCTAATTTGAAATTCAGAATTAAGTGCCTGAATTTCTGAACTACTAATTTAAAATTCAGGACATAAGATTCGAACTTTAGGACATGATGTCCTCAAGTTTGAACTTTGAGGCTGAAACTCTAGGACATCGTGTCCTGAAGTTTGAGCGAAATCGGCTACCTGGTGTCATTTCCACACGATGTACTAGTACTACGCAATTTTATGCGTATATTTCGAACTAAGCTAACCATGTGTTAATTGTCATATGACATTCTGGATTGTTATTATTATCAGGGAATGCATTCATCCCAAAATTCCACAGCTGGCAATAATTGGATTCTCTGAAAGCGTGGCAAATCTATACACTTCAGAAATAAGGTGTCGATGGCTGGCAGAGTTTCTTGATGGAAAGTTTAAACTACCTAGCGTCAAGGCCATGGAGGAAGACATAGCACAATGGGATAAATACAAGAAGAGATACAGCAAGAAGTACTACAGGAGATCATGCATTGGTGCATTGCATATTTGGCACAATGACCAACTCTGCAAGGACATGGGTTGGAATCCTAAGAGGAAAAAGGGTCTCATGGCGGAGTGGTTCGAACCTTATGGCCCGTCAGACTACGCCGGCTAGCTCAACCATCCCAGAAGATTTCTCTTTGTTGCTTTTCTTACATTCTGCTGCATGGTCTTCCTTATTTTACTGTCTTAAAGGTGTGCTTTGTCACTGTTCTGTCTTTCTCATATGACGTAATAAGCTTGTTTATCCCACCCTGGAAAGCTTTATACATCAGCTTGACATTCATACATACTCTTCTTTTTAGAAACTCAGCAGAAATATTGTGCAACAATAATCATCTCACGGCAGCTATGAGAAGCAGCTATGAGAAGCAGTAGGTAGACTAGCATAGACATTCAAACATTAAATTAAAACCCCCAGAGGCTTGTATACATTCAAAGTCTTGCTGATAAAAAGTTGTATAAAGACAACTCCAATACGCTTATTTTGCGTGCACCAAGTTTGCAAAACCTTAAAAGGGATCGATTGACCTCAAGAAACTAAAGGAACGAAGAGGGGGTTAGGGCTACAGAGTAAATTCAAGATATAACCTGTTCATTCCTTTCCGTTCCAGCAAGCTGACTCCTTAACCAAGATGCCGAACATTATAGAATCCAACATATTTACATAGGGAAGTAGTGTAAATAATTCAATGTACAGTTGTTCCGCAGTTGTATAAAGCTATCTAAAGATACGAGCCACCAGGCATTATTGCAGTCATGAAGAATCTTCGAACGCCCCCCACCGCCAAAAAAAAAAACACCCCAAAAAAAAAGATAGTGGAAGAAAAAGAAAAATAACTATGTGAGCAAGTATCCTTGGAGGAAAGAGGCTCAGTAATCCTATTTTTAGAGGAAAAGGCTCAAACAAAGATGGTTGACCAAGTATATGAAAGGAGGTTTCTATAAGTTTCAAAGAAGGCCTGAAAATCGAATCCACTCAACTAATAACCTGAAAGAGAATGCGGAGTAAGATAATTAATAACCAGCGAATAATATTTATCAACGTAATAGCAGAACTAGACTATCTTACAAATTTCATATTAATAATCTTGGACAAGGTAAACCTAAAATAAATTATGAAAAAGCCAATGGGTTATGATATTCTAAGAGGAGTTCTGTAGTTCAAAAATGACAATAATGTCTTTTCCCAGTAAATATAAAGCATCTTATTGCTTCACTTGAATTTACCAAGTATCCAATTAAAATTGCTCATTGTGCACGGGTAAACATTCACATCATCTTTTTCAGGAATCACAGGAGGATGATATTCACTGCTTTAGCACTAAAATAGCAGACCGCCCCTTCAAAACTGCACCTGCTAAGCCATTTGGCAGACATTCCTATGGCTTCATGGTTCTAGGTTCTTTCATTGGTAAGCAAAGTTATCATACACTTTTAGGGTTGTCCTATATGATTAGTTATGCAACTATTATAATACAGGGATTGTCATGCAGGGACAATAATATAGGAACTGCTTTCCCGAGGAATAAAGAAGTTTCATAAAAACTTTTAAGGAAAACTTAGTTGTTAAACCTATGAAATGAGAAATCTACTCACCTTGGCTTCATTAGTGTCACAATGCAGAAACCACCAAGGACTTTTCTTTGACAATAACCTGAATGCAAAAATACCTTGCGATAAAGTATATAATATTACAAGAATTTCAAAGATTTCAGTTATTCAAACTACTAACACTCTGCTTATCTAGAATTCCTGTAACATATATGGATATCTAACATTAAGAACTACCAGCATCCAACTGAAATCAACAACGATTATTGCTGAATCAATGGAAATTACCTCTCAGACCACAAACAAGGAACAATACACAGAGCATCGAAAGAATCTTGTCGAGGAAAAACATAGATCCACATACTTAAATCAATAAAATACAGTTTTAGGTAGCATGCAAAAGGGAGGAAGATGGAAGATATCCATTACCTGATAATCCCAGCCATCATGCGCAATCCCATGAAAAGGGTCAAGCCCAACCAAACACCAGGAAGACCAAGATGTCTAGGAGCAAACAGCAGAAATCCCGATGATATTGCCCCCACCAGCATCTTTATGCAGAATTAAAAGAGAGATTTTACGTGGTGTGAATATATACTTGGTAAGTAATAATATCATAATGCACTACAAACTTACCATGGAGCGAGCTGCATAAGGGAAGTCTGAAACACCATAATGGAGGCCATCAAAGATAAAGGCAAGAGCATTTATTGGTTGACTGGCACTGACAAACTGCAGCAATTTTAAGTTTTGAACTTAGTTAATTAGCAATAACCACACTCTTCAGAAAATCTGTTAAATCGACAATTTTAACGAAAGATTTCCCAAATGGTATAGAGACATACCAATACACCTGTACCAACCACAGCTAACACTTCAGCATCCTTGGTAAATAAAGTAGATAAAGAGCCAAAAGAAACACCTAATGCAGCTGCCAAAAACACACCAGCAAGTAGCCCTAGCTGCAAATTATGGGTCCAATCTGATATTAAATTAGCGTAGAGCGTCTCACAACTTGCAGGAGAAAAAACGGAAGTACAAACCTTTAGCACATAGTGTGTAATTTCGGTTACTACCACGTAATCACCTTTCGATAAATAACTAGCAACCAACGCCTGGAAACAAAGTAGGAATAGTTGCGTCAAATTGAGAAAAGTGTGATAAGATGTATGACAGCAACTATTACTGGTCAAATCCAATAATATGTCATCTGACATATATTCTTCGAAAGCTTCGATACGCACCGACAGTTGTTGCCAAGTCGAACATGGTTTTTTTGCCAAACAAGAAAAAGAATAGAGGCAAGCACAGTGAAGCAACACACATGCACAAAAACAAGAAAGGTTCTGATATAGGAGATACATGAGAAGGAAGAAGTTACGAGGAGAATCGGAACCATATCAGACGGGATAAAATAATTTCATTTATATTCAATTTACCTGTGCAGATGCAGCCAGTGCATCTGTGAGGAGGGAGACAGCTAACCATACTTGTAAGCATATTTGATGAGCAGCCATCGCTACAGCACCTTGACGGGCAGCCATTGATGTAGCAAGTGTCATTGTGAAAAGGACAGAAAGAGTTCTTCCAATGAGGAAACCACCTAAGGCAACACAAATACAAAATCAGATGAACTCTTTCATTGCCATGAAAAATACACAGACATGAAATGCTACAAGCATTGAGAGATTGTTGTGGTACAAGCAAAAAGGCGAGCTTGTGTTTCAAATAGGACTAATCCTCGAACACCCATCTCAAGAATAAACACTCACCAGATTTTAAATAGCCACCAAATTGCAGCTCCCCAAATCGTGGCGGTAATAATATTACTCTCTGATTTAAATACCAGATCATAGAAAAGGCCACCAGGTATCTAGAAAAAACGAAGCACATAAGTAATTCATTTGTATTAAAATAAAGAGACTTTATAAAAAACTAATAGAGAGTGGACAATAAAAGCAAACATGATTAAAAAGAGCAATGAGAAGTACATACTGTGAAATGACAGTGGATATAGCAGCTCCGGATACACCCAAGCCGAAATAATACATAAGTAAGGGAAACAAAAATATAGCTATAAAGTTTCCAATGCCTGCACAAATTAATATGTAACATCAATACAAAGGTATGACTTTAGCTCCATTAACATATCAAGGAAGGACAAAAGAATCACACTGTTTATTCATAAAATTGCATTGACGAACAACTTTAAGGAGTGGAAACCTTATCTTTTTGACATCTGTCACGTAGGACACTTACATAAGATCCTTTTTCCCTATCAAATTACTTTCTGTAACTATAAACATCCATTAGATAGTACTCCTTTCACAATCAAAAGAGCGACAAGATATGGGACTCGATAAGTTTCTCGTTGCATTAAATTCTACTCCCTCCGTTTATATCACATTGTCAAGAAAGATTAGCTCAGACTGGACGATAATCCTGTTGGTTTTTATATGGCTCCTTTTGGAGATAAATTGGGTAGTCTATTTATCCTCTCAGTGAAGTAGTAGCACTCACTCCACTAATTGGTATAATTCCTGAAACTCAAGCATGCAGATTTCTTAAGAGAGAATAACCCCGACTTGCAGTGTTCACAAAAGAACCATACAATTTAACTAAGAATGATCCAACTATCAACTTAAAAGATAAATAGGTACTCATAAACTGTCTGCTTCCCTATTCCTGCTAGAACCACCCTTAACTAGGGAAGCTTCTATGGACTGATACCTAGAAGCTGGAATTTCTATGTCAAAACTGCATAAATCAAACAAGCAGAAAGAATCTTTGGCAAGCAATATTATCACTTGAACAGCAAGGGATTCAAGACTTGCCTAAACAGAAGACTGGAGTCTTTGTATCCTTAAATCCACGGAATATGCCTTGAAGGGCCAAGGAAACTACAAATGCAGGAGCACCAAGAGCACGCAGAGCAAGGAATCTTTTTGCTGGAGCTCTCATAGGTGAAGTCTATAAACAAAACAGTTTTCTTAGTAAGAACTCATAGGAAAATCTTGATGTACGTACACATACAAAACTGTGCATCGAGGGGCTTGCATGCACTAGAAGATAATTGCGATGAAATATTTTATGACCCACAAGTAACTGTTTCGCAGTTTCCTACCCCAAAACATTGCTTTAGAGGTCATCAGGAGTTTTTCTCCTCCAAACCATATGGGAATCTAGTTATGCTAAGAAGAAACCTGGTCTCTCTTTGTCAAGAAGTACAACTGTTGTACTAAGTTATCAAGATAAAAAGGAACAACTCAATTCACTCAGGTTGCGAACGTGAGTTCACTAAATGAAAAACTGAGACAACATTATTATGTTCCTTGATTAGGGAATGCATAACTATTATTTCACACTATCAGCTTATTAGTAGACATCATCAAGTTGCAGTTGATATTGAAGTTGCAACCTAGCCTAATGATTGCATCTTCATTCTGCACCCATGTGGTGTATAGTACAAAATTTCATAAAGGTCTGCCCCTCATTTTGCTTCTGCTTTCTCTACTACAGGCCCATACCTCCCGTAAAAAGAAAAAAATGAAATTAAAAAGACGTCGCACAGATAAAAACAAACAAATACTGTCACTGAAAAATAACCATAAAGGTTATATCAGTTCTAGATTAGCCAGGATGAAGCGTTATAGAAGCATGTATCTAGAAATGGCCTCTCATGAGCCTTACTTTAATGCCTTTTTCCTTATTCATGATACTATGTGCACTGATGCTCTGGATACATACTTCATAGAATGAAAGCAAGCACAAAAACAAAGAAATTCAAAGGGAAAACAGGGAAGGTACAAAACATATATGCCGTCATACAGATGATATGCCCATCAAACCAAGAAGTAGTTCAGATCCCAAAGCCAAAGCCAAAGCTTCAATGATGCCAATGCCAACTGCTAAAAATAATGCTGTAGATACAGAAGAAAACTGATGCCTTTCTGCTACCCCTATGGGAAGTCTACCGTTGGTGCCTTCTGCCTCCTCTGCACAACATAAAGATAAATGTGTGTGATAAAAGTCAGAGCACGAATCATAAAGCTCTTAGTAGGACCATCAACTCTAGGTCAGTTAAATGCCTAAGCAATTTCAATGCAAGGAATGACAACAAAATAATACAACATCTACCTGACATGTAAACTTTGGTCACATTCTTGGCAATGTCTTCAGCCACAAAAGATGTAGCAACACTAAGTAGAGGAACATTAAATAGCTTTGAAATGATGTTAAAAACCGATATGGAGACACCCGCTGAAGCTAACTCCACTGAACCTGTAAAACAAAAACAATTCTTAAGGTCCACGAGAGTAACAGTAAACATAGAGAAACCAACACTTCCTCCACCCCATCATGGTATCCCTCAAAAAGGAAAATTGGAAGAAACCAAAAGACCCAAGTCCAGTGAAAACTGGACATAGTGAAGAAAATCAAATTCCTTTTAAAGAACACTGAGAGGCAACAAAGACATTAAAAGAAAACTCTCTCCCACCCCGTCCCGAAAAAGGAAAAGAGAAGGAAAAATGATTTCGACTGATATACGCTACCATCAGTAATTGGAGAGAAAGGATTCTGAACTCAGGTAATACACTACAAAAATAATAAAACTACTCTTAAGTAGGAAAACAGCAAAGAAAACATTATTTTCTTCTACCCCACAAGATGAAGGATGGCATGCATTTCAATAGTATAGAGACTAAAGTACATCTGACAGCCACAATCAATAGTAAAGATATATATGTTAAATCAGTCCAACCAAAATGCATTATGCAGGACAATGACAACTAGCTAGACAAACTACTGATCCCAATATGTTGAACAACCACCATCAGCTCCAGCTACCAGAATTAAGGCTCATTGCTAACATAAGATCCTGAAATATCAGGCCNAACATTTTCTATTATGGGAACAGTCTCATTCAACTCACTGAAAGTGACAAAAGGAAGAGGAAAAAGAAAACTAGATCAGCAAAGGGATGTGAAGGGTAAAATATTCACATTTGTCACAATATTTGCCAGTATAACCAAAATTAAACCAAAAAAACTATGATCATGATGTCACCAAAACGATGAGGAGTAGCAACTTGATCTGACTTGAAAATTATCAAAAAGGCAAATTAGTAATGCAGCCACTTTGCCATCAATTAATTATATAAACTAAATCTGTATTGTAGCTCGCCATAAAATCTACAAAGAAAATTAATATGTTAAACATCTGTTTATAGAATAGATTCTAAAACCCCTCCCTCCAACTTCTTGCCCAACCCTGTGGCAGACAAACACAAAAAAAATGGATGTAGTCCACATTATGGCATATTCAAAGTTCAGAATACGTACTAGGTTCAGTTAAGATCTCTAAGTTTCATCAACGAACCTAACCTCCGTAATAGTTACATTTAGAGGGGGGGAAAACCTGTGTATGCACACAGACAAGAAATGCGAGAGCTGCATAACTCCAATGTTTCATTTAGATGCTAGAGTCCCAAACCCAGGCAATTAAGACAAACAACTCGCTGTCCTTTCCCATTCTAGGAGAGCCTTCTACTACTTGAGATACCAAAGTTCACAAAAGTACAAAGATCTTGGACAGGTAATAACCCTGCTATAACACTTTAAATATTTTCATGCGGCATGAAAGGAAAGTCCAAAGCTGGATATATTGGTAACATGAAAGTTTAATAAGATGCAACAAAGTGCACTTCTGTTAATGTTGCGACACATCATCAGGGGAAGCACCAAGTTCTCTTTTTCGAGCAGCCCACTTCAATGTCAAGAATCTTTGTAAAGCATCAACTATTTCACATTATTAACAATGTAATTGGTAGAGACCACTAAGATACTCATTTGCAAGAATCTACTTCAGGAAAATATCTAGTTGAAAATTTTTTTTTCAAATTCTAACTAGCATCTTAATTAGATAACGCTTCATGGGGAATGACTGCTAATACGACCAATACCTAAATTCTTCCTATCATCAGGAAAAACCTAGAATGCAGAAAACTGAAGCGAGATCAGGGTCTTACAAAACTTCTCCACTCGAGCTTGCGAGATAATCATTTCCCTTTACAGTAGTATCCCGCAAATCAGAAGCTTCTGCACCACTCTCTGAACTTAACTTATTACGGAACCTTAAAAATTTCCGCGTCCTTGGGCAAATGACAGGTGGAGTTAAAAAACGTTTGCTTCTTTCAATAGATAAAGAACAATTGTTGCCACCATAAATATATCCCAAGCTATTCCGACTGACTCTTGAAAAGGAATTACGATGCCGATGTGAATATCTTAACGAGCAGAATTTGGATATTTCCTCTTTCACTTCCAATTCAGCAAACCCATTATACATCGTCTTACTAGTCAATTGTGCAGCTGTCATTTTTATCACTTGGCCTCCCTCACTTCACTATCAATGTGAATGAATCTGATAATCATACAGAAATTTAAGAATGCATAAGCAACTGGAGAGAGAAATACATAGAAAGA